CCCCTACAGAAAATATAGTACTTTTTCCAGATAGCCCCAAATGTAAGTTATACAGCATTTGTAGCATACTTTCATATAGGCATGTATGCCCTTGAATAAATACATGTGGTTATCTCCAACACAAAATGCAGGAACACTGATGTCAGAGTCAATGAACAAAAAGAAATCCAGAGACGCTAGATTTGAAATTTATGAAGGTTCCATAAATATGTGCAAGAAGAAATATTTTTATCACATTATTTGTCTCTTGAAGACCACAAAATGGATCAGGTACCAGGTTGAATAGCAGTCCAAAAGATAACTGATCCAGTGCATATTATTTTGCTCCATAATTCAACTGGTGTAAAAATGAGGCCAGTTCTGCTTGATATATTCTCTACACGTGAGTTTTTTAAAGATTTTTTTCTAGGTCTGCATGTTACACACTTTCTATTGTTCTCAAGGCAAAAGAAGGATAAGACTCTATTGGGAGGGAATCAAATATAAATCTAAAATGAGTCCTTTCTTTTGTTACTGCTGATAAGTTAAAATAGAAGTGCATAAAAAGATAAGAAAATTTTTTCTCCTCAGCATTTGTGCTGCCTTTGCATCTCAGGAAAAATGCTTAGTTATAAGAAATCTTCTTATCATTTAAGAAAAAATGTTCCAGTCAACTCATAACTTGTTTTTTGGTGTGGTTAATTGAAATGGACAGTACCAAAGGGTCTTTTTCCTACTCACTCCTTTGAAGTAGGAGATAGGGCTGCTTTATCTCTATCAGATAATAAGGCACAGAGGGGCCAGTCCCTAATTTGAAAAGGGATATGAGACAGAATCTAAAGAAAAGTCATGCTTTTTTAATCAGAAAGAAAACAATTACAGCAGTCAGAATTCCATCATTTCCTCCCCTCCCCTCCCTCATAAGTCACACTTTGAAGATACTACAGCCAAGACCATCTAGATACACCTGTTATTTTGATAAAGGTAACCACTTCCCAAGATGACCCTGAGGCAACATCCCAGACTGTGTTTGAGGTCATCTTATTTCTCCAAAGTATTAGAAAAACAAAAGAATCTGAGAGAAAAGGAGATACATTCATTTATGGAAACCATCCCATATATCTTTGCTAATGAGCTGGTTTCTTCCCTTCAACAAGGACACACTGTTGGCTTATTGCACGCAGTGGGAAATCTATGGCAATTGGGCTTATTTTTAACAACAGATGATGTCCCTGTGAAACATTTAATCTTGTGAGTAAACCATCCATGTATAAAGCTTCCTTTTTCTGACTTCCATCAAAATCACATGGCCAATTCACTTTATCAAGGTCCAGATTTTGCCAGTTCCTACTATAAAGCAGTTGGAAATAAAATTAAACAAATAAATAAGATAAAGAAATAAATAGGTCACACTTTGTTTTTTAATGATTAAAAAGCTACTTGAAGTCATTTTAAGAGTTTTGTACCTAACACCACCACCACCACCACCCCAAAAAGGAAAGGGAAATGTTTCCTTGTTCCCCATGGGAATAATACTGTCCTCAGTTCTTTTTGTAAGAATTGAATTGTGCTTCAATAATTATTTGTATATTAACTATTTATACTTGAAAGACTATAGAATATTATTATAGGCTGTAACCTTGAATTTATAAAACTGATAGCATCTGTGGATGCAAATTATTATCTTCACTTCTTCTTTTTGTGTCATATCCATCATCGGACATTGGCGATCATGTTGGCGATATCTTCACTTAGACTAAGCTAAAATTTATGTGAAGGCTACTATTTTAACAAAATAAAATGGCACAGTTTCATTGAAATGCCATAATTTGTAATAAATTGCTAGCCACTTGATTGATTGTGTTCATGTTACATTGGACTTATATTGCAGGATGATTCCAGGCAGTTTACATCATAAAATTTAAAAATATTCTAAAAGTATAGCATTCAATAATCACCAAAATAACCATAATCCAAACGGTTTAACAGTGACCCTTTATTCCTCAAATGCTCTCTGGAACGGTTCTTGTCTCTTGTGGTTTCTGGAAGGTCAGCAATGCAGGATGCTACAGTACATGGTAGTCATACATAAATGTAGTAATAGGAAAATATTAAAACCAAGAAGTCAGTAAATTAGATTTTAGGATTGCCTATGAGATTAGTCTTATTAGTCCTAGCTATATATAAAATCTATATATGAGTACTGTACAATGTGAAAAGCAACTTAATGGCACATATTAGTCAACTATACTTTCTAAACTGGTTTTAAGTAACATTTAATTAATCGTGTTTTTAAAACAGAAAGGTTGATGATAAGCCTAAAATGAAAAATACCTGTTATCTAATCTGATTATTGGTGATTATTGAATACTATACTTTTAGAATATTTTTAAATTTTATGATGTAAACTGCCTGGAATCATCCTGCAATATAAGTCCAATGTAACATGAACACAATCAGTCAAGTGGCTAGCAATTTATTACAAATTATGGCATTTCAATGAAACTGTGCCATTTTATTTTGTTTAGTACTGAAAAAAGTGACTTATGGCATTTTTCATACTCAAGACAGTTGCATCATCCTCATGGTCACATGATCAAAATTTGGATTCTAGGCAACTGGCATGTATTTATGATGATTGCAGTGTTCCATGGTCATGTGACCATAAGCAAAGTCAATGTATGAGAGAAACTACAATTTTTGAACAAATAGTTCAAAACTGGGAAAGAGTGATTCCTGTCGAGGTAATTCCCCGTTAGGAGAATGAGCGCATACAGGGAGACGTATAGAGAATAGTGTTTGAATAATACACACACAGCATATAGATACACTGTACAGTAAATGTAGGGTTTTACTTCCAGAAAGGTTTAAGCAAAGTTCAAAATAGGCAGTCCAAAGTCATTCACAGGTAAATCAGTCAGTTTTTCAATCCAGGGATAATCCAAATATCAAAGTCCAGTGTCAAAAAACAGTTCAGTATCAGACTTACATTAAATCCAGAAATATCAGTCAATTAGGAAAAATGGCAATACTCTCCAACAGAAGGAAACAGATACTTACTCACACTCTCTTCTGAGACTAAGGCCAAGTCAAACCTGGTTTCTGGCTCCATCTTATGGCTGTTTGAGTAACCATACCCAATTGCAGTTTTTAGCATGCTCTTAAAGAGACAGTTTTAAAATGTCTATCCTGGTTTATATATTTCTAACCCAAATACCTGTTAGGTGACTCATATTCCTAACAATTCCTACTCAGTTCCATAACTAGTGTTGAATATTGTGTTATATAATGGGGTGAATCTATAGATCTATAGATGTATTGCTCCATACAAGTAGCAAATTGACCTGTTCTTAATTTTAAATATGAATGGAGCTTATAAAGTACAACTTCTTATAGCTAGAACTGGTATGCCCCCATCAGAGCTTGAATCTTTGGAGGAAGACGAGCTGGAGCCAATGGAGCCAATGGAGGTCGAATGGGTGGCTTCATTGGCTTTGGAGGAAAGTGGGGAGGAGCAGGCCAAGGCAGCCCAGAGCCCCTCTAAGTTGGGATGGCTTATAAGCAGGGAGGAACTGGGGCAGGATGACTGAGAGTGAGCAAGCAGTGGACTTGAGGAGCAACAGAGCTCAGGTGGTGAGCAAGGACCATCACCTCCTGATCCCCAAGCATGGAGAATGGAGAGAAGGTGGGAACAGCACAGGCCACCCAACAACTCAAGAGGAGAGCACCCTGCCCCTCTTCACAAGGCACACCTGGGGACAGAGATTTAAGGAGATGCTGTGGGGAGGGGCATTTGTCGGGAACAAATGCTGAATTGGTAGAGTTTGTTGTGCCAGTACAGACATTTGGAGTTTGCAAGATTGCTTGCTCCTTCCTTACTTGATGGCCTTCTTCCTGACTTCATGGACTCAATACCTTGTTCCTGATTTTGTGGACTCATTGTTTGTTCCTTGTTTTGTGGGTTCCTTTCCCTGTTCTTTTGTTTTCCCAGACTGGATGCAGCCAGAGGCTGCCGTGTGTGTGTGCACACACTTTGCTCTGGGACTTGCCAAGAACGTGGGAGCATTTGAGGGGAAATTTGGAGCATTAAAGGGGAGTTTGAACTCTCAAGTGGCTGTGTGACCTTCATGCCTTGTCTTGGGTCATCACAACCATGACCTGAATGATTCAGAATCTCCATAGTCCTCTAACCATAATGTGTATGCATTATGATGCACATTAAAAAGAGAGAGGGTGTATCACAATAGAACACTTGTTTTATAATTCCTTCTATTCCCTTGTTTTTCCTTTGATGCCCCTGGATATGGACCCTACTTTGTGGGTTTCTTTTGGAAAAAGTTTATGCTTGAACAAAACATTCAATTGCTAAAATGAAACTCACTGTATGGCTGATAGGATGTACTAAGATGGTGCTGAATATCCAGTTGGAACTAGTAAGATCTTATTTGAAATCAAATATCTCAAATTAAGCACAAAACTGTCCAGGTAGGTAATGCTTATCAATGAATAGACTTATATGCTCATGTTATTTTCCAAACTTCTATACTGGATTTTCTACTCATGTTTCAATTATCCAGTAAACAATGAATATAGAAATGAGAGAAATCAGTAGGAACAAGTGAAGGTGACAACAGTTACAGAATCTCTTGATAAGAGATATTGCTTAGAACTTCACACATTTTGTAACATCTGTTTATTATGAACATCCACACTTAAAAGCAAAGAATTCTTTCCATAAATGGTGCAATTTGCAGTTCTTAATATGATTAGATCATGTACTGTCTGGAGGCTGTGAGGTTTAAGAACCTTGGATTAAATCCTACCAAGACAGACTAGTGATCAATAAATATTTGGACAATATGTAGTATTGGTTCTGCTAATTATTCTGGACATGATCATGCTCATCCCAAAGAAGTAGTTGTGATGGAGGAATCTACTTGGGCTTAAACAGCAGGTATGGCTGGGGATACTTTAACCAGCCTCAGCTAGTGCATGAGTCATGACCTTAAATGTGCCAGGATGTCCTAATTGTTGTGATTCACCATTGCAGTTCTGCCTTCACCATTCATTTGGGCTACTGTCACTTGCAAGAAATCAGGAACCAAAACAGAGTTCAAAAGTATAAGTTTATTGCATGCTACCTATGCACAAGAATCTGAACTATTAACAGTCAAAGTGAATTGACACCAGATATGGGTCAATGGATTTCAAGGGAGGCTGGACTTAGGTCTCTTTTGGGGGGCATAGAGACTCCAAACTGATGATGCATTTGACTCCACTCTTGGGCTCAACCTGATCATCTCCTACATCTACTGAAATGTGCTTTTTGTGAGGCTGCCTTTGGAGACAATCCAGATGTTGCAATTGATATTAATTGCCATAACAAGATTGACAGGACAGTTCCTCCTCTACAAAATAACTCTCCTCATGAGATCTGTGGATATGGGTGACATGGCAGACTTTCTCTGTAGTACTTCCCACTCTATGGAATATCTCCCCCAAGAAATGCATGCCATCTCCATTGCTGTAATTCCATCAATACAGGTAGTCCTTGAATTACATTTAGTGACCATTCAAAGTTGCAACAGAACTGCAAAAGTTTCTTATGACTGTTTTTTTACACTGATGACCATTGTAACATCCTGATGGTCACGTGGTCAAAATTCAGACACTTGGCAACTGACTCATATATATGACAGTTGCAGTGTCCTGGGCTCATGTGGTCATTTTGCAACCTCCTGACAAACTCATTTAACAATTGTATTAGTAACTTAACAGCTGCACTGATTCATTTAACAACTGTGGCAAGAAAAGGTCATAAAATGAGTTAAAATTCACTTAACAACAGTCTCTCTTAGCAACAGAAATTTTGGGCTCAATTGTGGTCATAAATCGAAGACTATCTGTAGAAGAAGAATGTTTTATTTCAGATTGCATTTGATCCTAACTGATTGACTCTGGACACCTATTTTGTTTTTTATCTTCACTTTCTGTGGGTAATTTTTTTTCTTTTTGGTACTGTTCTGCATTTAGCTATTGGTCATGTTTTTGTTTTTGTTTTTGTCTCACATGCAGAGGTGATATTCAGCAGGTTCTGAGCAGTTCTGGAGAACCAGTAGCAGAATTTTTGAGTAGTTTGGAGAACCGGCAAATACCATCTCTGATTGGCCCTGCCCCCATCTATTATCTGCCTCCCGATTGGCTGGGTCTTCTTTTGTTGCCCTGCAGAGGAGAACGGAGCTGGAAAGCAGGTTAGTGGGGTGGGGAGGGAATGGAGATTTTGCAGTAACCTTCTCCTGCCATGCCCACCAAGCCACGCCCACAGAACTGGTAATAAAAAAAATTGAATCCCACCACTGCTCACATGACTTCCCAATGTCCATTGGGAATAGAAGAGGTTTCAGGTCCTGTAAATCAATCAACCAGCCAGCCAATAACTACACATTATTATGACTCTTTCTCTGCACTCGCAGAGAATTGCTTGAAGGTATTTCTGTGTTATGCCTTGACCTCTAATACAAAAACATTCCAAAAAAACTAGATAAGTTTCCCCTCTCATTAAGAAACATTGATCTCTTTTGTTGCCTGATCAGGCAGTCATTGTTCACAGATCTATCTGCAATTATCAGGCCAGTCAGTAACCTAACAGGCTAATTTCTGCTTACAGCTTCATGCTTCCACTTGCCAAAGGGGTCCTCTGCTGTTGTGCCGTAGCCTCCTCTGATTTTTCTAGCCTCCTCTCTGCACGGCCACATGTACAAGCTCCATGTGTCTGAACCCAAGGAGACTATTGGATTGGCTTGCACAACCCCTGTCCCTGACATGCCGCTTGTGGCAGCAAGTACTACAGGCAGAGTGGAGAGGCCGGTACAGAAGGATGTCTCTTTAAAGAACAGTACAAGCTGTTCTGGGTTCAAGAAGCAGGTTTCTTGGACAACTCTAAGCAGAATCCCTGCAGACCAATTATCTTTAAATAAGGCCAGTGCTGAGTCTCCAGCCAGCAGCATGGAGGACATCTTCTAAGTGGTTAATTTCTGTCCTCCTTTCTAGGGCTTCTGATAGAAAATACATGAATCCTCTAACTGTGAGCTTTACTATTTATAACAACAAGATGACAATGCCACAGGGGTTTGGATATAGGCAGTATCATACTGGTACAAGAATAACTAAACAATGCTAAATTATTGAATCCCCTTTTATCTCAATGAAACTTCTCTCTCTCTCTCTCTCTCTCTCTCTCTCTCTCTCTCTCTCTCTCCTTTCCATCTGCTGACCATGCAGACTTCTTGACATAGTATAATATGAGAGCATAATACTTATTTAAACAAACCAAGTATCCCTTTGGAAAATACTCCATGCATTAGTTGAGGCACTGGAAGTTTTTTTCACTCTCCTTTCTTCTCTCCCGGGTTGGATCAGTTCACGCATCTGATCTCTTCCCTGCTGCTCTCCTTGGCTCTTCCAAGCCTTGATCCTTCTCCAATCAATTTGCTGGATTAGTTCCCTGCTAGTGATGTTCATCTTTAACGGTGCATTGAAAACTGACACTCCTAATCCCTTTGCACCCCAAAGCTGCCTTTTAGCTGCAGAGAGGGGACAGCTGTGGGCTGAATGGTGCACAGAGACAAGCCTCACACTCCCTTCCCTTTATTTCTTGCTCACCCCTCAATCATCTTTCTCTCTTGATGCTAAGAGACAAAAGACTCCCAGCTAGGCTTTTTTTCAGAGCTATTCTTCCTCCATTACTCTGAGCAGAACCTCTTCTACTACCTTCTTGCATTCCCACACCCAGCCATCTTTTCTTTACATTCAGCTTCACGGCTGACTTTTTTAAAAAGTAAAAAGTAAACTCCTGAGGGGTTTTTCCCAGTCTCTCTGTCCCCTGGCACGACCCCTCTCTATTTGGTGATCCCATTAAAGGTGAAGTTGCTCAGATTCACTCTGGGTTGGACTCCACATGCACTGGATCTTGCATGCCCAGGAAAGGTGTGTGATTTGGTTCAGGCAGTGGTTAAATCCTCCTTGATATTGTGCCCTAGTGCTTGGTGACTCTGGCGGCCTTGGTGACTTCAATTCAATTCAAGCAAGATGGAGTAACTATAGGTATTTGGACCTTCCAATGCTGAATATTTGCTATGTTTGGTTTTCCTGAGATGGACCCAGTGCAAAATCTGGTGGTCTTCCTGGATTCACTCTTTGTGTGGACTTGACCTTGGTTTAATCTACATAATGGCACTGATAACCCCCATCCATAAATCTTGGGTGACTTTAGGCGACTTACTCTGTCTCAGCCCAACCAACCTAAATTGGGTTTTGTTATGGGAAAATGGAGGAAGAAGTGTTATATATATCCTAACTTCAGTACCTAAGAGATTGGTACCAGCTCTTAGTGACCTCATTGATAAATTTTCTCCATGACATTCTATCTGTCAAGCACATAAAAGTCCCAAGTAGTTCAAATAAATATAGATTTATTATATGCTAATGGTCTCTATAAGAATCAAAGTAAATTTGCAGTAGATAAGACTCCATGGAATTCAAGGTAGGCTGAACTTAGATTTCTTGCACATATGAAGGGACTCAAGACTGATGGCATGTTTGACTTCTTCCCTTTGGCTCAGCCTTGTCATCTTCTATCCTGTGCCTAACATGGACCTTTAGTTCTTCCATCAGTACACCCATTGCCAGTCTATTGGAGCTGGGCAGCTAATAAATTCAAATAAATAAATAAATCTACCTTGCTTTTTTTCTCTTTCATCGTACCTGAACAAAAGATGGGATACTAATTAAGTTTCTCATACAAACTGCTACAAGATTTCCACATTATCTAATTTCAGTTTCATCCCAAATCATTAATCAGTTT